GTGAGCGTGAGCGTGAGCGTGCGGAGGGGGAGAAACACAGGAAACGCGGAGGACACAGGCATCCTGGGTAGCTCTCTCGCTACTTTCCTGTTAGTCTGAAATTATGTCGGAAGCCACCAAAAAGTCTATAAAAATGACCACCCACCTACCCAGCGATACAGAAAACACGCAGTCAGTCCACCAGCCAACCAGCCAGCGACCCCTGTGGAGACCACGACCGGGGAGCAGGGCCAGGCCCACGCGGCACGTGAATGAAGGAGCCCACCCTGTGCCCACGGACACCACCCCCCGGACGGTCACAGCTCGACGCCCAGCTCCCAGCAGGCACCAGGCTGACGGGGGCGGCCACCTACCTCAGGATGTCCCCGTACAAGTTGGGCATAACAAGAACGTCAAACTGGGACGGGTCCTGGACCATCTGCGAGAAACACACGTGGTGCGTTCAGCCATCAGACCTGCACGCACACAGACACACACACACACACACCCGCCACGGAGAGCTCAGCCCGGGGGAGCGACACTTACGTTCAGACACACCGTGTCAAGGTACATCTCGTTAAACTTAATGTCTTTGCAGTTCTCGGCAACTTCCCTGCATTTCTGCAGAAAGAGCCCATCTGACATGCGCCTGTGTTGAATCAAACAAAAGCTGCTGAAAGCAAAGACTCAAAGAAAAGCGTCAAATCAGAGAAGTAAAGTGAGTTCACGAAATTGAGGCCCAGATGGGTCACGTCGATGACAGTGAAATTATGTTTCAGGCAGTAGCAGCAAGAATCAAGAAATGCCGGCCCAGATGGGTCACGTCGATGACAGTGAAATATGTTTCAGGCAGTAGCAGCAAGAATCAAGAAATGCCCATGAATAAGAAAGTCAAATCGCTTCACAAGGTTCACTTCCCCGTGGCTCACACGGTGGACTGTGTACACTTCACTCAGGTTAAGAACCTGTATCTGACACTCACAGGCGGCCTGGGGCAGCCGGGGCCGAGGAGAAGGAAACTGCGAGAATAATGCCCCCGGCAGCACTCGCACTGGTTTACGCCCGAGCCCGTGTCCATTTTAGAAATGCTCTCGGGGCCACTTCCGCTGGGGTCCCCGACGCCAGAGCGCCTGGTATTTCTCAGCCCCTCCTCAACCTCCCAGGACTGCATTCCTGCCCTCCCCCAATCTGCTCCAGTCACCGCCCAGTGAGGCACATGAAATAGGAGACCTATACCCCACTGGGTACAGGTGGTTTTAGAGACCCAGGAACCAGTGACCAGCTGGGCAGAGGGCAGCCCACCTCCGCTCCCCCCGCGAAGCCGGCCCAGGACTCACATGATGTTGGCTTTGTGCACGGCGGTGACGTTGCTGCGGTGGTTGTTGCGGGCGTACTCGAAGGCGAACTCCGCGATGCGCTTGCTCGCCTGCTCGGTGATGAGCTTGATGCTCTGCACGACCCCGTCCACGATCTGAAAGACAGGAAGGCCGGCCCTGCTGGAAAGGGTGTGGCAGCGTCGGCACCAGGCAGCTGCCTGTGTCAACAGCAGCGTGAGTGGCGGGCTCGCAGTGCCAGCAACCGTGGCTAGCGTCACGCATGCGGGGCGGCCGTGGGGTTCATGTGGACCCATTGCACAGATGAGGAAAACTGAGGTGCTGAGAGGGTCACCTGCCCATGAGCACCCCTGTGAAGCCCGGATTCAAAATTCAAACGGGGGGCATGTTCCCAGGCCCATGCCCTTCCCCGAGCAGCCGCATGAGCACCGCTGGCCAGAGGCCCAGGACCAAGACAAATGCCCACACCTTACAGAGGTCCAAGTGCACGACCTCCAGATGTTCCCGCTGGGAATCTGAACTGGCCAGGTGCAGGGCAGCAGCCCGGCTGGGAGTAACCAGAGTCGGGAAGGAACGTACCACGTGCTCGATTCCACTGTACTCGCCTTCCGTGTTCTCCCGAATGGTGACGATGTTCACGTCGTTGTACGGGGTTTTATAGCCTTCGATGGAGACACAGGGCCGGACGTTTGCGTACAGGTCGAAGGTTTTACGCAGCAGTAAGTTCATGGACGGGTGACCGGCTGCTATCGGGGTCTTTAAAGGGCCTGCGGTGAAGAAGAACGCCCCGATGACCACAGGACCCCTCTCCTTCATAAGCACGAGCTCCTAGTGTTTCTGTGAAAGCCCGGCTGGTTCCAGTTCCCGTCAGAGCTGCACTCAGGGCCCGAGTCCCGTGGCATGCGACACGCGCACATGCTGCTTCGTGAAGCAGGGGCACCGTCACCCGCAAGCGAGTCACCTGCAAGGACAGCAGTGCCCTGCCTCCGGGTCGGGCGTTCTCTCCATCGGGGCGAGTCCACGCTGCCGTCACCCAGGCAACCCTCCCG